TATTTTCCACTGACCTGCAGTTCTGTTCGTTGTTGTTTTGTCTCATTCAGACAAATCTCTGCCTGCTTCCTGTGGGACTCAACTTCATATTGCAGCTCAGCCAGCTCTTCCCTCTTCCTGTCCACTTCCTCCTTCATTCTGTCCAACTCGTCCCTCTTCTTGTCCACTTCCTCCTGCTTCTTTTCCAGCTCATCTCTCTTCCTGTCCACTTCATCCTGCGTCCCGTCCAACTCGTCCCTCATCCTGTCCACCTCGATCTGCGTCCTGTCCAGTTCCTCCTTCGTCCTGTCCACCTCGACCTGTATCCTGTCCAGCTGATCCTGCTTCTTGCGGAGCCGCTGGAGACTCTGGGAGCGTTTGGTTTTCACCTCCTCCAGCGCCTGCTGCTCTACAAGCAACTCCTGGAGGACCTGTTTGAGCTCTGAACACACACACACACACACACACACACACACACACACACACATTGAGCTATGGCGTGAGGCTGTCGACTCACTGAGACAGAGACGAGTCAAACATATAAAACAGAAGTTTTCAGGATTCTGAATGTTATTTTCTTCCTTCAAAAATCATATTTTATGGATAATGAATAACTGAGGATGGAGGGTGTCGTATATTGTACAGAAGATAATGCGCTCTGGGACAGATTTGTGATTTTGGGCTGTAAAAATAAAGTCAGAGTTTGATTAGTGGACGTTAGAGGAACTGCAGCTCAACAAACAGCTGCTGATTGGATAACGAGGTGATCATGAGACCGTTCAGTCAGTGCAGGTGTGTGTGTGCTACCTGCTCTGTGTGTGTTGAGATCAGACTGCACTGTGATCAGTCTCTGCTCATCCTCTCTCAGGGCGCACACTGTGGACCTCTTCTCACTCAGCAGCGCCTCCTGCTGCTCCAACAGCTCCTTCACAAACACACAGACAGCAGGTGATGAACCTGAAACACCTGGGGCCTCATGTACTAACACTTGCGTGGATTTCCTACTAGAATGTGGCGTACACTGAAAGAGGGAAAGTTCCGTACACAAAAAAAATTCAGATGTATCAAAACGTGCGTACGCAGAATCCCACGCACATTGTCTTTGTACATCACAATCAACGAGAAACTGAGCGCACATGCACGAGCACAACGCTCCACCCTGTCCCCTCCCTCAAATACACCGATTTGAATATGCTAATTAGTATAAATAGGCCTAGATAGTGCTGTCTTTAGGAAAATGGCAAAAGCCAGGAAAAAAAGAAATTTTACAGAGTGTGAATTGGAGGTACTGCTGACGGAGGTAGAGACCAAAAAAATTTTTTATTTTGCGTGGCACAGGCAGTAAACTCGGTAGGGTCGGAGAACCGCACCGCAGCGGAGTTGAAAAAGAAGTGGTCAGATATGAACACATATCTGCCCATCGCCAGAGCCTTCAGGCCACAGGTGGTGGAGTCCCTGCATTACGGTAGACTGATATACTGTACTGCTGTATTGTGAAAGGGTTACTGTACGTACAAGACGTGACGTCACCACGGTCCCAGTGAGCGCTAGTTGTTGTTGTGTGTGAGCCATGCTGATGAGACGGCGGCACATCGGTCCGCACTTCATTGTTAACTGTTAAATAAATATGCCAAGAGGCTGAAGATAATTCGAGTCTGTTCTACTTCCTCCATACGCAGTAGAGGACTGCACGCTGCAGTAAATAACGCCTTAACACAAATAATCTGCAAATGATTTAAAATTGTTTAATTGCTTGATTGATTGTAAATAATGACTTTCGCATACAGTGCAACTGTCCCGAGAGCAATTATTAATTTCGGCTATGCAATTTCAATGCATCGCCTGTGAGTGTCGCCAACTGACAACTGACACAAGCAAAAAATATGTGCGTACGCCAGCAATGAAGCTGCCGTGAAGGACCGCACATTCTCACGTTCATTTCACTTTTAGTACATCCGAACGTGAACGTGAAAAATGGCGTATGCACAAATTTTGTGCGTACGCAACGTTAGTACATGAGGCCCCAGGTTCTTATTGGAAACTTTAACACCAGGATGTTTCAGATATTTCTCATTGAATGCTCTTAGAGAGTGAAATCAGCTGATCACAGCTCCTCAGTTTGCTTCACTGCAGCTTTGAGATTTATATCATCTGGTTTCATGTTTATCATTTTTTTCTCCACTGTTTGGCTGTTGGATCTGTTTTTCTTAGAGCAGATTTCAGGTAAAAGAGAATCAATAGTTTTAATGTAAGATGTTTTTTTATTCCAGTAATGTGACACACATAACTGTCTCTGTGTCCTCACCCTGACTGTGTCCTGCAGGCGTCTCTCCTCCTCTCTGACCTCCTCCACTCTGTTCACAGCTGTCTGATGCTCCTCCTTCCTCTGCAGCAGCCTCTGCTCCTGCTGATCCACCTGCAGGGAGTTTAAATCAAGGTTTTGAGATCACTGATTTGCTGTAACAGTTTCCTGTACCTTAAGCTTGTTAAAAGTTCTGTCAGCCATTTGTTTGTAGCTTTAACATTAAACAAAGGTCCACAGATCACTTTAAGGACCTTCTTCTACCTTACAGCCCTATTTCTCTGTGTGCACATAAACTAACCTGAAGAGACAGAATATTGACACAGTACCAAGAAAATATTCTCTATATTAGCTGCATGGTGTAACATTATTCTTATCATTATTATTAATATAATTAATATTATAATGTGCAGAGTTTTATAAGACTGTGGCGTTACCGGTGAGTATATTTACTCAACTGAAACTGAAGATGAAGCTGTGACTTTACCTGATTGTTGAGTGAATTTAAACGCTTCTGAGACCCCTGAAGGTCTGACAGTACATCAGCTAATCTGCACACACACACACACACACACACACACACACACACACACACACCAGGTTGTTATTTAGGCCACACAATAAGGAGAAAATGTGTGTCATGTGATGCACCTGTTGGATATAAAGTGCTGCAGGAATAGAAGCAGTTGAGGATGTAGCTTATTGTTCCGACCACCTATTGATGAACGATCCTATTAATGTCCCATTTGTTCTTGGCAGCTGGAGGCTTTTCACTGTGAGGCAGTCTGATATAACTCGCTGCTTGATTACTTTTTATATTCTTGTCACTTTTTATCTGAGATATGAAAATGAAGAAACGCTGCAGGAGTTTAAAGAGCTGGAAACCAATCAACAACAATCTGTATGATTGTGGTTTAAACTGACCTGAACTAACTTTATCTGTACCTGTCTGTAGCTGAGTGCATTTCTGTGTCCAGTTGTTGTAACTTCTGATCTCTGCTCTTCACTGTCTCCTCCACCTCCCTCAGAGTCCGCTCCTCCTCCTGTCTCCTCCTCCTCAGCTCCTCCACCTCTTCCTGCAGCTCTCTGGAGGGCAGTTAATACAATGATGAAGAGTCACATGCTGTTATCTGAGAGTGGAGGTCAGAGGTCAGCCTGTGTGGGTTTACCTGATGTGCTGTGTGGCCTCCTGCAGACGGGAGGTGCCGTCCTGAACGCAGCGCTGTAACATGTCGGCCTCCTGCTGAGCTGAAGTGGCCTGGAGTAGACAGGAGGAGAGACGCAATTCATTCAGTGACGCGGTGTGTGCAGTGAGACAGTGAGACAGTGAGACAGTGTGTACCTTGTCTCTGGAGGTGTGTATGCAGCTCTGAACCTCCAGCAGCAGTCTGTCAGCCTGCCGGAGTTCAGCTCGTCTCTTCAGCAAAGTTTTCTCCACACACTCCACCTCATCACACACCTGCACCACACTCCTGCACACACACACACACACACACACACACACACACACACACACACACACACACATGTGTCACTCACTCAACAAACCTCCCAGTTTGCATAATTTAGCATTAATAATCAGTTATATGGATATAAAATATTTCAATAACTGATTGGCTGATTTGTGTGTGTGTGTGTGTGTGTGTGTGTGTTACCTGTGTCTTCTCAGTGTGTGTCGTAGCTGTTTGGTTTCCTGTCGCAGTTTCTTCTTCTCCTTCTGCAGACTCTCTGCTTCTTTGTGCACACACTCACACACACACCTGTCTACCTGCTCACACACACACACACACACACACACACACACACACACACACACACACACACACACACACACACGTAATATAAAAACTATTTTCTGTCCATACTGTCAAAACACATGAAGGCTATGAAGGTATCAGTACTGTTGTAACACCATAATCAATACTCATTTATCCCCAAAACACATTTAAAAGATATGGTGATGATTGGCTCTCACAGTTTCCCTGCAGCAGGTTGGTACATCTCTGCTACTGACCGTGTCTCTGTGCTCTGGGATGTTACAGTGCAGTGCAGCGCCTCCTGCTGGAGGACCACAGAGCAGCCAGGCAGGTCCAACCAGAGGAGTGTCAGAGAGTCCAGCAGAGGCTGGTGCAGCTGGAGGAGGAGCAGGAGTCCCGTCAGCGTCGCTGCCTCCTCCGCTGTCCCTCCACTCTGCTGGAGACAGTTCACAGCTCAGGGGACATCTGCAGTCACACCTCAACATATTGCAGCTGTTATGAAATGTGTGAGTACCTGTGTCAGAGTCGCTGTGTGTGGGGGGGATATAGACCCAGTACCCTCCTCCGGTGGGCGGTCGGTCCTGCTGCCGCCCCCTGTCTGGAGAACTCAGGTAATGCAGCCCCAAACCAGAGTCCTGAGTCCCCAGAGAGCCCAGACTGTGAGCCTGAGAGGGAGAAAGGTTTAGTTCCCATGATGCTCCAGACGGAAAGAACAACAACATGAGGGACAATGTCTTATGAAATAGATAAACCTAGTGTTAGTTCTGGTTCTGGTGCTACAGTCGGTTCAGAGTTGGTTCAACTTAAGAACCTTCTAAGAACCAGATATTGAACTGGTTTCCTTTAGTTTTGTTGTTTTTTAAATTCATATCAAAGTTACATTAGACATTTGTAACATTCATATGAGATATTGAAACGATCCAGATATTGGTAGCTTGCTAAACTGCTAATAAATACATAGCTGGTTCTTTGGCTGTTCAAACACAAAGAACTGGTTTGGGATTAGGCACTGGCTCCGAATCAGCCTGGTGGAAATCCTAGCTAGCTGTTGGTCAGTTTTTGTGGAAGATAAATCCCTGATGATCTGAAACACAGAAACTCTTCCTGCTGCTCTGAATGAGAATACATGAGAGACACAAACTCCAACAACAATAATGTGGAACAGTTTCTACACTCATTTACCCATCACTTCATTCTGTGTTTCCTTCCTCAGTTTGTCTCTTTAATCGTTCACTTTACATTTCTCAGGCAGAAATAAGCAGCAAGAACTCCAAATTAGCATGTAGCTCAGATAAATATCAGCCCAACTGTGTGTCTCACACTGTGTCCTGGAGGTATGAAGCACCACCGTCCTCCATCTCTGGTCCGGGTCCTGTTTCTGGTCCTGTTTCTGGTCCGGTCCAGCTTCTGTCTCAGTCTGTGTGTGTGTCTCTGAGATTTATCCAGCTCGGCTCTCAGCTCCTGCACTGTGTGTGTGTGTTCAGACTGAGGTGTCGGTGTGTGATCGCTGCCATCGAGTTCCTCCACAGAGTCCTGACAAACACAGATGTCTCATTAACGGATCACACTGTCAGTCCTATACTACTGTACTAAAATATTCTGCTGTTCAGATGTTTAAGGTTGTTAACTTTGTCTCAAAAGCCTTATAAAGAAGACAAGACAGATTAGTTATTGGTGCCGCTTCTCCCACGCTGTTGGACAGACAAAGGACGTCCCGGAGGGGCTGCGAGCCGAGCTGCTGCTAACGTTAGCTCAGCTTGTTTCTCTGATAACTTAAGATCCAGACGTCTGATGACTACAATTCTTCATCCGGTTCAAATCTAGAGTTAAAAAGCACCAAGATCTAAACAGTGGATGGTAACAATGTGGCTTCACACTGGATCAACAGTCAATGTATGACAGCTTCTGGCAGACAACCACAACGCTGACGCAGGCACAAAGGGGATATGACGCCATCGACAGGCGACCGGTGAAACGCAGCGTTACCTGAATAAAATGAATTAAATGAAATAAAATTTCTCTGAGTTTGAACATTGTGTGTGTGTGTGTGTGTGTGTGTTTGTGTGTACCTGCTGTGTGTGTGTGTGCAGCAGCTCCACGCTGTGGTTCAGAGCTCTCAGCTGTTCGGAGGTCGACTTCAGCTGTTCGGCTGTCAGCTGATCGGACTCACACATGGACCTGCTGAGCTGCCGTAGTTTTCTGTTCAGACGTCCGAGGCTCCTCTGGTGACCGTCGCTCTGTGAACGCAGCTGAAGCACATGACCGACAGTCAATCCCAGCATGCACTGCTGCTTACAGCGACTGTGCTGCTGACTGTAACAGTTTATTACTGACTGTTTGCTGCCTACAGCTCTTACTGTAACTGTAACTGTGTTACAAGCAGATTGAGGAACATCTAAACGAGCTGCTTGCAGATACTTTGGTGTGATTAAAAAAGATAAAAAAGAAATATATAGAGATATAGTTACATCTTAACTTATGTTAGCATAATGCTAGCTCACTAACGATAGATTAACTAATGAGTTAGAGTGCTTTCACTCCTCAGAAAGGGGCGGGGCTTAGAAAGGGTCAGTTGCTGAACGTCCTCTGACCTGCTGTAGCAGAGTGTCTCTCTCCTGCTGGACGTCCTGAAGCTGCAGACGGCTCTGCTCCAGCTCCGCCTCCTGCACAGTGAGTACAAAGATAATCACTTCAGTATAAATAAGGAATTTAAACTCTGCTGCCTGTCTGTTGACAGCGTGCTGCACTGCCGAAATAACACTTTCTGGACTGTTGGAGACTCAGCTGATACTAACCAGTTTGTGCTGAATGAGTCTGTTTCTACTCTGGGAAGTCTGCAGACTGACTCTCAGTTTCTCTTGCTCCTCCTTCAGCCTCCAGTCCGAGTCCTGCTCCGTGCCATAGATCACCTTGGCTTTCAGCTGGGCTGACTGGGCCTGGTCCTGGGCCACCTGAGCTTCCAGCTGGGCTATGTATTCTTGATCGTGGTCTAGCTGGGCCTGCAGTCTGGCTATCTGTTCCTGGCTGTGATTATGGTCTTGTTGCAGCTGCTCCCTGCTGATCCTGGTCTGCTGGATCGTCCTGTACAGCTGATCCACACTCCCGGACAACATGTCCTCAGCACTTTAGGGGGACAGGACAGTCAGCGTTAAAACCACTTCAAAGACAGAATACTTGCAGTACTGCTACCTGTACTTGTCTACATCCACATCCTCAGGATCCAGCTATGAAAGGGTCCCGCTCAGAAATTTAAACTATTACAACTACTCTTTTTCTACACTGTGGTCGGACTGAGAGATAATAGCACATGTCTGACATTTTCAACAAAAATAAACACTTTCTACTACAACAACTAAAGCACGAGCATTTTGAATACAACAATAAATCACGGAATATCTCGCAAAACAACTCCAACAAAACAAACAACCAAGCCCTCATGCTAATACCTCCCAATAAAGCACCAGACCCAGATGGCTTCCCTGCTGAGTTCTTTCAACATTTCTGTCTAACTATCTCACGTCTGTTTCTCAGTATGAAGCAAGAACCATTAAAAAACAGTAAAATCCCTCCACATATGAATACTGCTAACATTACAGTGATACTGAAACCAGGTAAAGAGCCCACCCTCCCATCTAGTTATCGTCCCTATTTTTATAACCACTTTTTTTTTTTTTTTTTTTTTTTTTTTTTTTTTTTTTTTTTTTTTAAATATAAAAAACCCCCTCATAATTTTAATTTTAAACCAGAAACCCCCCCCTCTATTCCCCTATATACTAATCAACACAGAAATAAAAATCATCAGCAAGAATAATAATATTAAAGGAATATAAGTCTGAAATAAGTTTATACGCAGATGACATCCTACTTTACCAACAGAACCCACAAGTCTCACTACAAGAAACCATGAACCTACTCGGTAGATTTTCTAAAATATCAAACTACTCCATTAACTGATCAAAATCAACACTGTTACAACTTTCCAAAAAGAGTTGGAATCTGGCGGCAATACCACCACCCATCCCTTCCACCACAGACACCATAAGATATCTAGGTATCAAGCTGTTTCTTTTGCTCTTGTTAATCTAATACACAACTTCCCCATGTTGCTCCTCAAACATACAAATACGCACACATTCACAGACTCACTGGAATACTTTACCATAGGCTGCACATGACCCATTTTGCAGTTTCATTGGACTGCTCCTTTAAGAGACAGGGGAATTAGCTCAAATGGTAGAGCGCTCGCTTAGCATGCGAGAGGTAGCAGGATCAATGCCCGCATTCTCCACAGCTCTTACTTCTCTTCACTTCCTCAGCTTGTGATCAGCAAAGTGTTTAGAAGAAGTACGAGTACTTCAAACTCCATCCATTACTGGAGTAGAAGTACTATCAGATATCAAAATAAAAGCCTTTGTTCTTCAGAAAGTCTGTGGTGTTATTGGTTTATTACTGATTCCATAAAGTGTAGGAGCTCATTTTAACCACTTTATATCTTCTTGAGAAGTTTACTCTCTAAAATAAATAGAGCATTAACTTGATCATCTGCTTTAAAATCTGTAAAGTTACCAGTAACTATGGTTGTCTGATAGATTATAATAGAGTAAGTTGGACAGTCTGAGGTAGAAGTATAAAGTAGCAGAAAATGAAAATAACTGTAGATAAAAATATTTATATGGTTTGATGCTGGGGGGGACAAACCAGACTTCGTAGTGTCAGCCTCAGGTTTTTGCTCGGATTTTGTTGATTTGGTCATTTTTCCTTGATATATGTGTTTCTCCCAGAGGTAAGAAGCTTCGTAGCTCAGCTGTTTCACTTTAGTTTGGTTTTATGATCAGAAGTGTGCACATGATGTTTTATTTTGAAAAACCACTACAAAACAGACGAGGTGGCCGAGTGGTTAAGGCTCTACTGGCAGATGGCTTCCCTGCTGAGTTCTTTCAACATTTCGGTCTAACCATCTCACGTCTGTTTCTCAGTATGAAGCAAGAACCATTAAAAAACAGTAAAATCCCTCCACATATGAATACTGCTAACATTACAGTGATACTGAAACCAGGTAAAGAGCCCACCCTCCCATCTAGTTATCGTCCCTATATATCTAATCAACACAGAAATAAAAATCATCAGCAAGAATAATAATATTAAAGGAATATAAGTCTGAAATAAGTTTATACGCAGATGACATCCTACTTTACCAACAGAACCCACAAGTCTCACTACAAGAAACCATGAACCTACTCGGTAGATTTTCTAAAATATCAAACTACTCCATTAACTGATCAAAATCAACACTGTTACAACTTTCCAAAAAGAGTTGGAATCTGGCGGCAATACCACCACCCATCCCTTCCACCACAGACACCATAAGATATCTAGGTATCAAGCTGTTTCTTTTGCTCTTGTTAATCTAATACACAACTTCCCCATGTTGCTCCTCAAACATACAAATACGCACACATTCACAGACTCACTGGAATACTTTACCATAGGCTGCACATGACCCATTTTGCAGTTTCATTGGACTGCTCCTTTAAGAGACAGGGGAATTAGCTCAAATGGTAGAGCGCTCGCTTAGCATGCGAGAGGTAGCGGGATCGATGCCCGCATTCTCCACAGCTCTTACTTCTCTTCACTTCCTCAGCTTGTGATCGGCAAAGTGTTTAGAAGAAGTACGAGTACTTCAAACTCCATCCATTACTGAAGTAGAAGTACTATCAGATATCGAAATAAAAGCCTTTGTTCTTCAGAAAGTCTCCTACTGTCTGTGGTGTTATTGGTTTATTACTGATTCCATAAAGTGTAGGAGCTCATTTTAACCACTTTATATCTTCTTGAGAAGTTTACTCTCTAAAATAAATAGAGCATTAACTTGATCATCTGCTTTAAAATCTGTAAAGTTACCAGTAACTATGGTTGTCTGATAGATTATAATAGAGTAAGTTAGACAGTCTGAGGTAGAAGTATAAAGTAGCAGAAAATGAAAATAACTGTAGATAAACATATTTATATGATTTGATGCTGGGGGGACAAACCAGACTTCGTAGTGTCAGCCTCAGGTTTTCTCCCAGAGGTAAGAAGCTTCGTAGCTCAGCTGTTTCACTTTAGTTTGGTTTTATGATCAGAAGTGTGCACATGATGTTTTATTTTGAAAAACCACTACAAAACAGACGAGGTGGCCGAGTGGTTAAGGCTCTACTGGCAGATGGCTTCCCTGCTGAGTTCTTTCAACATTTCGGTCTAACCATCTCACGTCTGTTTCTCAGTATGAAGCAAGAACCATTAAAAAACAGTAAAATCCCTCCACATATGAATACTGCTAACATTACAGTGATACTGAAACCAGGTAAAGAGCCCACCCTCCCATCTAGTTATCGTCCCTATATATCTAATCAACACAGAAATAAAAATCATCAGCAAGAATAATAATATTAAAGGAATATAAGTCTGAAATAAGTTTATACGCAGATGACATCCTACTTTACCAACAGAACCCACAAGTCTCACTACAAGAAACCATGAACCTACTCGGTAGATTTTCTAAAATATCAAACTACTCCATTAACTGATCAAAATCAACACTGTTACAACTTTCCAAAAGAGAGTTGGAATCTGGCGGCAATACCACCACCCATCCCTTCCACCACAGACACCATAAGATATCTAGGTATCAAGCTGTTTCTTTTGCTCTTGTTAATCTAATACACAACTTCCCCATGTTGCTCCTCAAACATACAAATACGCACACATTCACAGACTCACTGGAATACTTTACCATAGGCTGCACATGACCCATTTTGCAGTTTCATTGGACTGCTCCTTTAAGAGACAGGGGAATTAGCTCAAATGGTAGAGCGCTCGCTTAGCATGCGAGAGGTAGCGGGATCGATGCCCGCATTCTCCACAGCTCTTACTTCTCTTCACTTCCTCAGCTTGTGATCGGCAAAGTGTTTAGAAAAAGTACGAGTACTTCAAACTCCATCCATTACTGAAGTAGAAGTACTATCAGATATCGAAATAAAAGCCTTTGTTCTTCAGAAAGTCTGTGGTGTTATCGGTTTATTACTGATTCCATAAAGTGTAGGAGCTCATTTTAACCACTTTATATCTTCTTGAGAAGTTTACTCTCTAAAATAAATAGAGCATTAACTTGATCATCTGCTTTAAAATCTGTAAAGTTACCAGTAACTATGGTTGTCTGATAGATTATAATAGAGTAAGTTAGACAGTCTGAGGTAGAAGTATAAAGTAGCAGAAAATGAAAATAACTGTAGATAAAAATATTTATATGGTTTGATGCTGGGGGGGACAAACCAGACTTCTTAGTGTCAGCTTCAGGTTTTTGCTCGGATTTTGTTGATTTGGTCATTTTTCCTTGATATATGTGTTTCTCCCAGAGGTAAGAAGCTTCGTAGCTCAGCTGTTTCACTTTAGTTTGGTTTTATGATCAGAAGTGTGCACATGATGTTTTATTTTGAAAAACCACTACAAAACAGACGAGGTGGCCGAGTGGTTAAGGCTCTACTGGCAGATGGCTTCCCTGCTGAGTTCTTTCAACATTTCTGTCTAACCATCTCACGTCTGTTTCTCAGTATGAAGCAAGAACCATTAAAAAACAGTAAAATCCCTCCACATATGAATACTGCTAACTTGATGAATTTTGAAAAACCACTGCAAAACAGACGAGGTGGCCGAGTGGTTAAGGCGATGGACTGCTAATCCATTGTGCTCTGCACGCGTGGGTTCGAATCCCATCCTCGTCGGGGTTGCTTTTAATGTAAACAGTGCCTAAAATCATCACCAATGCATCCTGGGTAATCTGATCACACTTCAAAGACGGAGTACTGCAGTGCTGCTACCTGTACTTGTCTCCATTCACAAAGGATATTGTAGGTTTTACCCAGATGTCAAAGGTGGTTCTCAGTCAACCCATCTGTAAACTATCATAAGATGTCATAGAGACCGCTAATGTATACACACAACTACACATCCTACAGGCTGCTGCTACCTGTACTTGTCTCCATCCAGCTCCTCTTGTCTTCTGTGAACCTCCCCAGGATCCAACAAGGCATCTGTGAAACAGTCCAGTTGTACTCTGACCTGGTCTAAGTGGGTTCTCGTGTCTTTACACTGGGTTCTGGATTGGTGAAACTGGGATTTAGTCCGGTCCAGTTGGTCCTGGAGTTTCTGGACTACTTGCTGAAGAGATGATTTCTCATCCTGAAAAAAGAAAGAAAAACATACTACAGGCTGTGTTTGAATACTAACATTAAAGTGTTTGAGCAGCATTAAACCCTTAGCATAGCATTTCCTATATAAAACCTTATACCCTTTCTCCAGTCGGAACCTCTAGTACACTCTACTGGCAAGGTTCCCACTCTTGTTAACAAATCATGGTCAGTCATAACCTTGAATACTTGAACAATTTACTAGCTGCAGTAAGCCTAGTTTGACACATTTTCACATTTGTTCCTCCTTGTTTGATGACACAGGTTCAAGATTAAGTGATTAGAAGTAGATGGTCAGTCTTTCTTTTCTGCTGTTCTGTACTGGAAAACTAGTCTTTAAATATCCAGGTTTTCCAGGATTCGTGGGAACCCTGACTCGGTCAAAACAGAACTACACAAACTGAAAATTCCTCATATTTTAGCTGTATAATCCTAAATATTACACAATACATGTACATGTAACAGGAAATGTTCGATGTTCACAGTGTGAGTCGTGTCCGACGTTGCTCGATTGCAGCACAACAGCTGCTCCTATATGGGATGTAAGTTAATTCCGTTATGTCAGGTGTAGTGTTGCTGTGCCGTGTGTAACAGAGGTTGACTGTTGTGGGTTTTATTGATACCTTCCATATTCTACTTCTCTTAAGGATTGTGTCGGATGTGTGTGTCTGTGTGTAAGTGTGTCTGTGTTTGTGCGTGTACTGACCTGCAGTGTGTCGATGGATGACTGTAGCTGAGACTCTCTGATCTCTCTGATCTGTTTCTCTTTGTCTACAGCTGCCTGCAGAGAACCACATTCCAACTACAAACACACACCCACACGCACACGCACACACACACACACACACACACACAGAGTGTCTTTGTCGTATAAAGGTTTCTTGATGTGATTTAATTTTCATTCTGTCACATATAAAACGTCTCCAGCAGCCTGTTACCTGTCCCAGAGTGATCTGTCGGGTTAGCTCCTCCCTCAGCTTCTGAAGCTCCGCCTCCAGCTCCACCTGCTGTCTGCTGCTCTCCACCTGTCTGTCTCTCAGAGCTTGGGCTTCCATCCTCAACACAGACAGTTCCTCCTTCTGGACGGACATGTCCTGAAGACAGACAGACACAGACAGAGAGAGACATGTACTAACCAGAGAAATATCAAACATTTTCCTTCTGAGAGACACACACTGACCTGTCTATGTGTCCTGGCGGTGTCCTCCAGCTGTCTGCAGTGTCTCTGAGTGTCCTCCAGGTGGAGCTGTAGACTCTGATTCTCAGCCTGCAGATTGTGAGCCTGCTGCTGAGCGCGACCAGCCTGAAACACACACATACACATGTAACCACCAGTGACCAGCAGTGACCAGCAGTGACCACCAGTATCCACCAGTGACCAACAGTGACCAACCAGTGACCAACCAGTGACCACCAGTAACCACCAGTAACCACCAGTGTCCACCAGTAACCACCAGTGACCAACAGTGACCACCAGTGACCAACCAGTGACCACCAGTAACCACCAGTGACCACCAGTAACCACCAGTGACCACCAGTGTCCACCAGTAACCACCAGTAACCACCAGTAACCACCAGTGTCCACCAGTGTCCACCAGTATCAACCAGTATCAACCAGTATCCACCAGTAAACACCAGTGACCAACAGTGACCAACAGTGACCAACCAGTGACCACCAGTAACCACCAGTAACCACCAGTAACCACCAGTGTCCACCAGTGACCACCAGTAACCACCAGTAACCACCAGTGACCACCAGTGACCACCAGTGTCCACCAGTATCAACCAGTATCAACCAGTATCCACCAGTAAACACACTTCACAAACAGGTTTACTTGATGAAGTCTCTACCTGCTCTCTGAGTCCTCTCAGATATTCCTGAAGTCCTGAGATGATTCCCTCCAAATCTCTCTGAAGAGCTTCATTAGCCAAAATCTGACCTGGAGGAGGAGGAAGAGGTAAACCACCTTAGTCAGTGATTGGTTAGTGATTGGTCAGTGATTGATTGGTCCTCACCATCGGTCAGCTGTTGCTCCAGCTCTTTGATCTCCTGCGTCTCCATGGCGATGCGTGACAGCATGTTGTCAAGGCGACCCTCGAGCTCGCTCTCCTTCCTGTTCATCCTGTCCAACAGCTGCTTCCAGCTGGACAACCGGCCGGTCACATGGGCCTGAGGGACAGACGTCAGCCAATCAGAGCAGGTTCACCAGCCTCCCTATTGGTTACTGGTTAATACACTGTATCCGCAAAATGTGGGGCATTATGGGCTGGAATGATCAGGAGAAATCACATTGATGATACTGAGGATACTGTAATTTCTGTTCCAGTATAATAATTATACATCCTCATAGAAACAATCAAACAAACCCCTCAGGACTGCTTCCACTAGCATCCATCAGAGTGTAAACGTACTCCATTACAACTGAAAGCCCTCCTTTCAAAACTTTATTCAAACTACAGAAACATTCATAGCTACATGTACTCATAAGTATCAAAAAGTCTTTCAGTGGACTGCTCCTTTAAGACACAGGGGAATTAGCTCAAATGGTAGAGCGCTCGCTTAGCATGTGAGAGGTAGCGGGATCGATGCCCGCATTCTCCAGCAGGCTTTTAACCCTTTCTTCTCTCTGCTGTCTGAGGAGAGACTCACAGTCTCAGCCTGGAAAACAAACTACTGATGGTTCAGAGTTTGGTGCAGCAGTATTTCCTCCTACACAGCTCACAGCCCGTTCTTATTCCCAGCTGGTCAAATACAGATATGAGTAAAACTCCACTGCTCAATGGCACTAAATCCTACACACTGGTGACTGCAGGGCAGTGACTCTTTGCTGCTGCTTGAGGCTGAAGTTAAACTCCACACATGCTGCAAAAAGAGGAATCTGAAGAAAGTCCAAAGGCTTTCTTTGTCTAAAAAGAAAAATGATCTTGTCAAATATGTTCTGCATTAGAAAAGGTTTTTTAACTGTGTCTTAATAAGATCTTACAGCTAATATATAGCTCAATTTAACAACAATGGTTGCATAAGCAGAGGAACAACTTATTGTGCTTATTTTCAGAGTAACACAACTCAGTTTAAGAGAAAGTCGTCTCAGTGTTGGAAATAAAGCAGCTGTTTAGTTTTTTATTGTTTTAATAAAAAATAATAAAAAAGAAGAATGTTTCTGAATTGTTCATTTAAGACAAAGTCACTGATTTTTATCATTCTGTTAGAAGAAATTGTGTCTCATAATTATTAGTATTATAATTAGATTCTTAAGATCAGCTCAATAAAAAATATTTATTTTAAGAATCTTAAATAACTGAGTTATCATTGCTTGTAAGAAGTATAACTTGTTTAAATTCTATCCAAACTAAATGATCTGCACTGCCATAGTGTATATTTGTCTTGTTTCTAGAAGGGCTGTTTTATTGCAGCATGTGTGAACTAACAGCACCTTCAGCTCATTGTTTGTGCAACCAGAACAGACTGTGAGTCTCTCCTCAGACAGCAGAGAGAAGAAAGGGTTAAAAGCGTACTGGAGAATGCGGGCATCGATCCCGCTACCTCTCGCATGCTAAGCGAGCGCTCTACCATTTGAGCTAATTCCCCTCTATTGTAAAGGAGCAGTCCACTGAAACTATGTGTGCACTTCCCCTCGCCCTCTGACCCTGCTTGCACGCCAAAGGTTACTCCACTCTCTCCCTCCCCTCTCTTCTCTCCCTCCCCTGTATGCTCCTGTGTCTGAAAATAGATTCCTGTTTCTAAAGCAGGGAGAGACCCTCTGCTGCTCACTGACTCCACATTTACACTGTCCTCCATGTCTGACTGCCTGTCTCAGAATGTGAAAACCAGTTTCTATGCACTTCAGTCTCCTGTGCTTCAGATGTGACTGTCCTGTGAGATAAGATATACCTTTATTAATCCCTGTAGGAGGTTGGTCCTTTGAAAGCAGTGTGACAACTGTTGATCCTGCGCAAAGTTGTTTTGACTAACAGCGCTCTTATTTTGAAATGAAGGTAAACTGAGTGGAGAGTTTCCTTCCCCTCATCCATTTGTCTGAAAAAAGTGACCTCGTGAGAACGATGCACAGGGGGAGCGAGTCAACAACGATGGTCCCTCCAGAAGTGTATATCACCCACAATGCTTTTCAGGTATTCATTTGGTGCATAAGTAAGTACATCAATGGTCAGGTGGCAGTAGTGTGTGGTTATTTTATGTATTCATCTATTTATCAGGGACAGTTAATGAGTTCATTTTCATCAGTATGAAACTGATTAAACTGCACTTCGGTTTTAGTAATATATCACATGTTCAATCGCCAAGTTAGCTATTCTCTACAACTCTTTCTTCTCTCCACTTCCTCAGCTTGTGATCAGCACTGCACAAAGTATACAACAAATCAACATCCCAAAGTAAAAGTTTGATACGGGGGGGACAAACCAGAGTTCCAGATTTTGTTGATTTGGTCATTTTTCCCTGATATGTGTGTTTCTCCCAGAGGTAAGAAGCTACGTAGCTCAACTGTTTCACTTTAGTTTGGTTTTATGATCAGAGGTCTGCACAGGATCTTTTATTTTGAAAATCTGCCAAACAAACGAGGTGGCCGAGGAGGCCCCAGTCATACAGACCGTTAATGTATACACACAACTACACATCCTACAGGCAGTGTGAGACTGCACACAGTTTCAGTGGACTGCTCCTTTAAGACACAGGGGAATTAGCTCAAATGGTAGAGCGCTCGCTTAGTAAGCGCAAGCGAGAGGCAGCGGGATCGATGCCCGCATTCTCCACAAGTCTTTCTACTCCCCAGCTTGTGATCAGCCCTGGGCAAAGTATACAACAAATCAACATAGCTGACAAACATCCAGTGGTTAAGGCGATGGACTGCACTTTAAAAAAAGACTCACAAACAATCTAGATGCTATTTAGAAAATCAGTTGCTAAAGTTTCTCCTCACTCTACAATTGAGCAGTTTTTTAAAGGGAGTCTGGTGATACTGTGGTTACTAGTCACTAGTGGGCTGATTTTGATTATTATATTATATAAACAATTTTGCAGTTATTTATATGATTAATACATAAACACAGTGGCAAAGACCAAACTCTGTGCAGCATAAAAACACCAACAAGAACTGAAGAATTATTACATCTGAACATTCACACCAGTGACACTTTATTGATTCTAAAATGCAGGTCCAATGTATCAGTCATATTAATAACCACAATAGTAATACTACTGAGCTCACTGGGAGTTAAAATGGCCACTTCTGGTTTAAACAGACATTTTGTACTTAACATAACCCCCAAAACCACTCCTATATTGTCCAAATCAGCCAAGACATTATTGACATATTGTCCATATGGCTGATTATTAATGCTAATTATGCTAATTGTTCAATATATGCAGGTTATAATCTGTCAGTTTCTAAATGCTGCAGACCCAGACTGAACATTTCTAACAGAAAACTGTGGTCTCAACATTTCTGGGTTCACAGCGCTGCAAGTGGACTATTAGAGTTCACACAATGAAAGATGTGTGGTTGCCCTCCTCAGGAAGTGGTTTAAGTGATCTGATGAGAATGAGTCTCTGTGGTCGGTCACACTGTATGTTAATAGAAAGGTGTAAACAGCCTGAGAGCCACACTACCTGCTCATACAGTGCACTATATACACTGGAGACATTTGGTTTCACCACCGTTCACAGTTTGTTTTTATGATTTCCAGCTTGGAGCGGCTCCTCTACGTCCTCTGCATTGCATTGTGGGACAACAATAAAAAACAAGTGGATTTAATCTGCATACTGATCTTTAAGTACTCACTGACACTTTATCAGTAGTCAGTTTTCCAGTGAGAACACACAGACCGGAGAGCAGCGAGCGTTGAGAGGCTGACACACAGAGAGGTGTTTGTGTACTCACAGCAGTCAGTTCAGTCTAGTCCTGGACCCCAGAGACCACACGGGGCTGCTGGGTAATATCCCTCATGTCCTCCTCCTCCTCTTCTTCTTTAACTCACAGAAAACAACATCTCACCTCCTCTTTTCTGACCTAAAGACATTCTCTCCTTCATCCCTCTGTTTTCCTCTGTGCTCCGTTAAAAACTTCTCTTCCTCTCCTCCTCTCTCCCCCTTTCTTTGAATGTACACAGGAAATCTGTTTCCCAGCCAGTCAGAGAGACAGCTGCAGAGTGACAGGTCCTTCTGTCCAATGGGAGGGAGTTAAAGCTGGGAAGGTCACTCCCCTCACAGGGGGGATCCCGGGGGGAGGAGGCAGAGCTTCTTAAAGAGACGGCAACCTGTTGCTGCTGTTACCCTGAACAGACACAACACAAGCACTTGGACCAATTATTACTCCATTTTAAACTCTGAATATTCAGAGTTTACAGGAAGTTTTACTCCTGCTGGGGTGGAAACTGATAAACTGATACCGCAGGTTCTTCATTCCAACAGCAGTCTGACTGTTTAACACCAGAATGACATAATACAGCACTGTTTGTTGTCTCTGTCATATGAGCCAACACTTATGCTGCTTTCCATTTGTCTCGTGAACTCGGAATCCGAGTTGGAAAGTGTGAATCTCGCAGCTATCTCGCGTGATTTCACCGAGACACACACGCCCCCTTTTGGTCGGAATTTCAGCCGTCCAGCTCGGGGTTCCTCAGGGTTCCTCAGGGTTCCTCAGGGTTCCCGAGCGCCCATATTAAGATGTATGTTCTTTGTATTTGTACTATGTTGGTCGTTTTAATGTCGATTTTAAATCCTCTTACACACTGTTTACATTGCTGCTTTAGTCCGGTCACCAATTTATGCATTGCACCGTGTTGCTGTGCTGCAATACAAAGTAAAGTTTTGTTTTCGAGCTGGTTTGCTAAATAGGCTAATGTAGCTAACAATAACACTAGCCTGCCACTGGAGGCCCCTGGTGGCCCCTGGTGGCTCGAGACAAACGCCACAGCACTTGTTGAAATTGAAATAGGTTGAAAATGGCAAAATATTATTGAAATATAAGACTTGCTACTAGAGGTGGGCGATATATATCGTTTGCGATAATATCGTCATTGTTGTTTTGACGATGTGCAAATTTCCATTATCGAGTATTTAAATTAATTACGACAAAAACAATGAAACGCCCGCGGAAACTCCTCCCATCCATTAATACACGGAGCAGCAGCGCTCTCTACAGCATGGCAGGATTCAGTCACATGACTAGTGGGCCTACGTGATCACATGACGTGATCACGTGACCTCTCGCTAGCATCCTCCTTGCAACAGTTTAGCAGCGCGTTGCGATGGTAGAGAGAAAATGCAAGCACCTCCAGTCCCTGAAGCTACCGGTACTTCAGATGATTTAGTGCCGAGACGTGGGTCCTATGGGCTTCAGCGGTAAAAAGATGTCAGCGGAGACGTTTTTTTAGCGCAGCGCTCAGAGCGCTTCAAGTTGAAATCTGTTCAACTTTTAACACCGCTGGGCGTTCGGAAAATGAGTTTTTGAGCTCTCTCAGCGCTGTAAACGCGTTTGGTGGACACAAGTTCAGCTCAGACAATTCTAATCACATTTTAAAGGATATCGACTGATTATCGTTATCGCCAAAATCCCCAAAAATATTGAGATATTATTTTTAGCCCATATCGCCCACCCCTACTTGCAATAACGGAATTACTTGAAATGTTTGTGTTTCTGTAGAAAAACATTATTATTTCACATTGAGCTTGTTTAGATGATCCACAAACAATAACAACACAGCTGTTGCACTTCTTTCCAACTCGTAATGCCCAAAGACAACTGGAACGCTTTAAGTGGTACAAGCCAGGCAATGACGTCACGTTCTCGCGGCAGAACAACTCGGGTTCCGAGTTCACGAGACAAATGGAAAGCAGCATTACACTACAGAAACTATTACTGTGAAATTCTACATATATATATTATCTAATTATATTACACCCTTACTGTATATTTAAAGCCTGTATTTCCTGTAAATCTCACTGTGTTTTTTTGTCCTGTGTAATTGTATTTATTTCTACAGTCTCCCTTACCTCCTGCAAATCTCATCCCTCTTTCAAGTTTGTATACATATATTTTTATTATAATGCTACATATGTAATCAATAATCTTTGCAATTATCTCTGTGTAATGTTGCATCAATCATGTCTGTATATAAAATGCTATATATAGTGTACATATAACTCTTATTTTCCTTTCTGATCTATTGTATTTATGTGGAGCTGCTGAAACAAGCTAATATGCCCAGTGTTGGATCAATAAAGTCTCTCTCATCTTGTGTTATTGCGAGGAGAATAATTCAACTGCTGCTGCCTGAAGTTCTGACTGCAGGAAGAGAAAATGTGACACTCCCCATTTTTACTGCTTTGTGTGCATATTTTTCTTGTACTGTAAGGAACATAAGGATGAAGGAAGGAGAATCTGTAGTATAAAGGACAGACAAGAGTCAGAAAGGGGTGGACTGACAGAGTTTCAGTGGACTGCTCCTTTAAGACACAGGGGAATTAGCTCAAATGGTAGAGCGCTCGCTTAGCATGTGAGAGGTAGCGGGATCGATGCCCGCATTCTCCAGCAGGCTTTTGGTGCAGCAGTATTTCCTCCTACACAGCTCACAGCCCGTTCTTATTCCCAGCTGGTCAAATACAGATATGAGTAAAACTCCACTGCTCAATGGCACTAAATCCTACACACTGGTGACTGCAGGGCAGTGACTCTTTGCTGCTGCTTGAGGCTGAAGTTAAACTCCACACATGCTGCAAAAAGAGGAATCTGAAGAAAGTCCAAAGGCTTTCTTTGTCTAAAAAGAAAAATGATCTTGTCAAATATGTTCTGCATTAGAAAAGGTTTTTTAACTGTGTCTTAATAAGATCTTACAGCTAATATATAGCTCAATTTAACAACAATGGTTGCATAAGCAGAGGAACAACTTATTGTGCTTATTTTCAGAGTAACACAACTTCTCAGTTTAAGAGAAAGTCGTCTCAGTGTTGGAAATAAAGCAGCTGTTTAGTTTTTCATTGTTTTAATAAAAAAATATAAAAAAGAAGAATGTTTCTGAATTGTTCATTTAAGACAAAGTCACTGATTTTTATCATTCTGTTAGAAGAAATTGTGTCTCATAATTATTAGTATTATAATTAGATTCTGAAGATCAGCTCAATAAAAAATATTTATTTTATCTATTATTTATTTAAATAACTGAGTTATCATTGCTTGTAAGAAGTATAACTTGTTTAAATTCTAGCCAAACTAAATGATCTGCACTGCCATAGTATATATTTGTCTTGTTTCTAGAAGGGCTGTTTTATTGCAGCATGTGTGAACTAACAGCACCTTCAGCTCATTGTTTGTGCAACCAGAACAGACTGTGAGTCTCTCCTCAGACAGCAGAGAGAAGAAAGGGTTAAAAGCGTACTGGAGAATGCGGGCATCGATCCCGCTACCTCTCGCATGCTAAGCGAGCGCTCTACCATTTGAGCTAATTCCCCTCTATTGTAAAGGAGCAGTCCACTGAAACTATGTGTGCACTTCCCCTCGCCCTCTGACCCTGCTTGCACGCCAAAGGTTACTCCACTCTCTCCCTCCCCTCTCTTCTCTCCCTCCCCTGTATGCTCCTGTGTCTGAAAATAGATTCCTGTTTCTAAAGCAGGGAGAGACCCTCTGCTGCTCACTGACTCCACATTTACACTGTCCTGCATGTCTGACTGCCTGTCTCAGAATGTGAAAACCAGTTTCTATGCACTTCAGTCTCCTGTGCTTCAGATGTGACTGTCCTGTGAGATAAGATATACCTTTATTAATCCCTGTAGGAGGTTGGTCCTTTGAAAGCAGTGTGACAACTGTTGATCCTGCGCAAAGTTGTTTTGACTAACAGCGCTCTTATTTTGAAATGAAGGTAAACTGAGTGGAGAGTTTCCTTCCCCTCATCCATTTGTCTGAAAAAAGTGACCTCGTGAGAACGATGCACAGGGGGAGCGAGTCAACAACGATGGTCCCTCCAGAAGTGTATATCACCCACAATGCTTTTCAGGTATGCCTTATATGTTTTTACATAATCTGTTCACTGCACCTTATATTTTTACTTTGCACTACAATTAGACTGCTTATTTATAATTAGACATTCAAGTTTTTATATTGCATTCTATATTGCTTTTTTGATATGTCTGTGTGTTGTTACTGTGTGTAATGCTGCTGCTACACTGCAATTTCCCAGCTTGGGATCAATAAAGTATATCTATCTATCTAAACCAGAGTTCTCAGATTTTGTTGATTTGGTCATTTTTCCTTGATGTATGTGTTTCTTCCAGAAGTAAGAAGCTACGTAGCTCAACTGTTTCCTTTTAGTATGGTTTTCGGCATGAAGCTGGACTCACTGGTGACGGTGGCAGAGAGGAGGACACTGGACAAACTGCTGGACATTATTGACAATGCCAGCCACCCCCTACACACCGTCATCAGCAACCAGAGGAGCCTGTTCAGTGGAAGACTGCTCCTCCTCAACAGACTCAAGAACTCCTTTGTCCCCCATGCCATTGTACTCTACAACCCTTCACTCGGGGGGAGGAAGAAATAGGGTAAAGAGGACAGAAGGGAAGGAGTGGAAGCCACTCACTGTGCAATAACTGTGCAATAATAATCTACTCATACATACCTGGACACTCTTCTTACTTATTTTTTTGTGCAATAACTTGATCCACCACTTAAGTGCAATAATTTAATTTAACTGCTAATTTCTGCTTAATGTCATTTATCCACTGTTTAACAACCACTTCTTATCTCTACTTTCTATATATAGCTAAGAGTTTATTGTTTATATTGTTTATCTTTTTTATACCTCTTTATTTTTCTTTATTTTTGTAAGCTGCTGGAAATTCAATTTCCTTGCGGGAGTCATCCCAAAAGAATCAATAAAGAGAAGTCTAAGTCTAAGTCTAAGGCTTTATGATCAGGAGTCTGCACACAATCTTTTATTTTGAAAATCCAGTGGATAAACAGACGAGGTGGCCGAGTGGTTAAGGCGATGGACTGCTAATCCATTGTGCTCTGCACGCGTGGGTTCGAATCCCATCCTCGTCGGGGTTGCTTTTAATGTGAACAGTGCCTAAAAGCATCACCAGTGCATCCTGGGTAATCTGCTCACACTTCAAAGTATTGCAGTGCTGCTACCTGTACTTGTCTCCATTCACAAAGGAATTCATGACATCTTGTATTTGGTGATATTGTAGGTTTTACCCAGATCTCGAAGCTGGTTCAGACTACCCGTCTGTAAGTTATCATAAGATGCCATACAGACCGTTAATGTATACACACAACTACACATCCTACAGGCAGTGTGAGACTGCACCAGGTTTGAGTGGACTGCGCCTTTAAGACACAGGGGAATTAGCTCAAATGGTAGAGCGCTCGCTTAGCATGTGAGAGGTAGCGGGATCGATGCCCGCATTCTCCAGCACGCTTTTAACCCTTTCTTCTCTCTGCTGTCTGAGGAGACACTCACAGCCTGGAATACAAACTGCTGATGGTTCAGAGTTTGGTGCAGCAGTAGTTCCTCCAACAAACAATCTGTGTGCTATTTGGAAAATTCATACAATGAACAGAAAGAGGCTTTAATTGTACGTACCCAATAAACAACCTGACTGTTATGTGAATACTAATTGGAGTATAATAGCTGTGTTTCCAGCAATGTGTATTGAAGAATAGCAGAGGAGGAGGAACTTATGGAACATTTTTATTTTGCTAAGATCTTTTTACGCTCTCTTGAGGTGGAGAATAAGTGCTGACAGTCTCCTCATCCCTCACACGGCACAGCTGTTTTCCTGCCACAGTATTTACACTCAATTCTGCATCTTTCAGGTCTTTGTTTTGGTTCTGTACCAGAATACAGACTGAATGTCACAGCTCTTCATTACAGAGGGAAAGGGTACGTACCTTTAAATACGGTTTTAAGGTTTTGAACGGTTGAAAGGCTGTTATGGAGTTTTTCACTATTATTTTTTTGTTGATCATAAGCGCTGAATTGGCTACCAGGGTGTCTGCTAATGATAAGCACTAAGAGAAGGAGGCGGATGAAGACAGGAACCAGAGTAACAGTACTCTGTAAGTGTGATTATATTAACCAGCATGCATTGGAGAACTTATGATGCTCTTGAGCGCTATACACATCAAAATCTCAACAATGAGGATGGGATTCAAACCCATGCGTGCCGAGCACAATGGATTAGCAGTCCATCACCTTAAGCTCTCAGCCACCTCGTCTGTCAGAGTGCGAGCTGTCAGAGTACTGAGAGTAGATAACAGATCACAGATCAGTTTGTATTAGACTCATATTTCCAGTAATAAAAGGTTCAGTGAGTAACTGAGGGCTTCATCATGAAGTCTATGGGCACATCCTCCCTCCACGATCCTCACTTGAACCGGAAGTTGTTGGCCCGCCATCTTATACTGTAAGACTGTACTACTTAATCCATCATATTCATCAGACAACTACAGTTACTGTTTTTATCTTAGAATGAAAGAACGTTTTTATTTTATTGTTTTTACCAATGGATGGAGGAGAGTAAATTTCATCCTGTCCTCAGTCAAATTGTATTTGACAGTCGAATAAAGTTAATAGTTAATACAGTTCAACTGGTGCTGGTTCTGAGACTGAGCAATGATTAAAACTGTAAAAAAATACTCACATGTTGTGAGTCTGTGGTGTCCATTGTAAGTAGTTGTGCCTCCAGCTCTTCTGTCTCTCTCTCTGTCTTCCCTCTCTCCTCTGTCTGTCTGTCCATCTGTCTTCGTGTCTCATCAGCTTCGTCTCTCAGCTGCTCCAGGACGGACAGTTTACTGAGGAGACAACACAGCGCCACCTGCTGAGTGAATAAAAATGTTAATATACTAATCTGAATCACTTTCTATTATGAAAAAATAAAATAGCCGAGCATGAGCTGCTTTCTAGGAAATGTGAATACAGACATTATCAATCAGAACATATCAGGTACTTATGAAGGAAACTAACACTGATTTTAAGTCGGGTTAGAATACATATTTTTACATGCAGCATTTAGAGTTTTTGTTATATACATAATAAAACCAAATCACATGTTTTAGTGTAAGTTAGAAATGATGTGTTTATATGTGTGTCAGTTACCTGGTCGTATGATTTGATTTCCTTTGGCTCTTGCTGTTCTGCTACCGGCTGCTCTGTCTGATGGATCAACTGCAAATCAGACACAGCTACACACACACACACACACACACACACACACACAGCTTATTCAAAGAACCTGAGTAACTTTTCTAATCCATTGTGCTCTGCACGCGTGGGTTTGATTCCCATCCTAGTCAGGCCAAGTTTGTCTCTTGTTTGACATGTTAGTGTGACAGCAGGAATCATAGGGACAATAGGCTCACTTCCTTGAGACAGTACTTATAGTCTTGGGATCAATAATCTGTGCTAATTCCCCTGTCTTGACATCAACCACTGTTTTCTCAACAGAAGAGAGGAAACTGAAGTCTTGTGGAGAGTGCAGGCTTCAATCCTTCACTACCTCTCGCACAGGGGTAAACTGAACAAAGGGCAGTCAAGGTCACCCAATAAAAGGAATGAATTCCTGGGAGGATCCAAGGGAATCCAAACAAGATAGGAAAGAGTGCTTTGATTCACAAGGTTGTCTGTCCAACTAGTACACTACATCGCACTGTTCTTCAAACACTATTTTCTCAACAGAAAGCATCATTATCTTGTCAACAGAAGAGAGGACCCTGAGGTCCTGATCACAAGCTGAGGAAGGAGAGAGTAGAAAGAACTGTGGAGAATGCGGGCATCGATCCGGCTACCTCTCACATGCTAAGCGAGCGCTCTACCATTTGAGCTAATTCCCCTGTGTCTTAAAGGTGCAGTCCACTGAAACCTGGTTCAGTCTCACACTGCCTGTAGGATGTGTAGTTGTGTGTATACATTAGCGGTCTGTATGGCATCTTATGATAACTTAAAGACGGGTAGTCTGAACCACCTTTGACATCTGGGTAAAACCTACAATATCACCAAATACAAGATGTCATGAATTCCTTTGTGAATGGAGACAAGTACAGGTAGCAGCACTGCAATACTTTGAAGTGTGAGCAGATTACCCAGGATGCACTGGTGATGCTTTTAGGCACTGTTCACATTAAAATCAACCCCGACGAGGATGGGATTCGAACCCACGCGTGCAGAGCACAATGGATTAGCAGTCCATCGCCTTAACCACTCGGCCACCTCGTCTGTTTATCCACTGGATTTTCAAAATAAAAGATTGTGTGCAGACTTCTGATCATAAAACCAAACTAAAGTGAGACAGCTGAGCTACGAAGCTTCTTACCTCTGGGAGAAACACATATATCAAGGAAAAATGACCAAATCAACAAAATCCGAGCAAAAACCTGAAGCTGACACTAAGAAGTCTGGTTTGTCCCCCCCAGCATCAAACCATATAAATATTTTTATCTACAGTTATTTTCATTTTCTGCTACTTTATACTTCTACCTCAGACTGTCTAACTTACTCTATTATAATCTATCAGACAACCATAGTTACTGGTAACTTTACAGATTTTAAAGCAGATGGTCAAGTTAATGCTCTATTTATTTAGGGTTAATATTAATATTAGGCCTCATGGAGACTGACTCACTGCTGGAGCCAGCCTCTAGTGGTCATTAGATGAACTGCACGTTTTGGTACATCACTGTTCAGGTAAGGTATACCAGCACTGTTTGCAACAATACGATCATGTGCACATCACAACATCAGGTCTACAGGGTTAAACTGACTGAATGCAGCTGTACGACTCTCATCAGAAACTGATGTTGCTTTAGATGAAGCTGAGAGGAAATATTAAGGCACAAGACAAGGACGTCCACAATCTTCTTTTCTCTTAGTATTAAACCATTTGGACACTGTATACAACTAAACTGATCTGTCATTACCTTGACTCTGCTCTTCCTGCAGGGGGCGTGACGACTCCATGTCAGTGTGAATGTCTACAGCCTCCTGGATCTGCAGGGGGGAGAAGGGAGACGAGTTCCGGGGAGTGGAGGTGATGGCCTTCCTGATATGTCGAGCCTTGCCGATGTATGAACTCTCAGCCACAGAGTCCACAGTGTCGACTTCCTGATGAGACAGACGAGTTAGTTTGGATGTCTGACCTGTGTATTGTGGTTGTTTTCATAATCAAATCAAAATGAAAGTATGATCTTTAACCCTATTAAAACTGAATATCCTTATAAAATGTTATACATTTATATCTATATATGGTTTTCTGACTGTTTCACTCAGAAATGCATTTCTGTATAAATCCTGTATTGGCCAATACAGATACGAGCTCTAAGTTTTACCTCTGTGTGTGTGTGTGTGTGTGTGTGTGTGTGTGTGTGTGTGTTATTGTTACCTGCACGTTGCAGGAGGGCAGAGGTATGAATTTGGCATCTATCTTGTGGAAAGTGCACTCCTGCTCCAGCTCATACAGTCTGTGAAAGGCTCTGGTTAACTCAGCTGACGTTTTCTCCAACTGAAGACACACAAAATGCAACAAAAAGAGGCAAAGTTTTATGATAACTAAGCTAACATTAGCAAAAGTAGTGCCACAATTTGGGTTTGATAACGCAACCTTAGTTTAAACTGAGAAGTAAGGAAGTTTTACATTAAAAAATGAAATAATTCATCAAAACACAGAGGCTGATTAAGAAGATAATGAGAAAAAATAGTGAGAAAATGGTTAAAGACAAAGTTTATGATGTGAAGCTCAAGTGAGCATTTCAATGATCCTGGAAAGAGGAGTTTAGTTGGGTGGCATTTGAGGATGTGGGTGCAATAAGAAGACCAGACAGCATCTTGTTTGCAGCTACGAGGGTCTTGGTTGTTATTTAATAACCGCTAATATATTTGTATTAGGGCAAGTAAAACTTGACTTTGGGCGAATAACAACCCCGATGGTAAACCAGCAGTCAGACAAACAAACAAAAGACAAAGTATAAAATCTGAACTGTAGTTGTATTCTGTTAAAGGTGAGAACATCATTAAAGTGATCATTTACAGCAGTTATAGGAGACATGCTGAACACTGCAGGTAAAAACTAGGGCTGCACAATTCATATAATTATTCACAATATGGTCAAGTGCAATATATAAATAGTAGAAGCTGCAATCTTTTGATAAAGGTAGAATTAGTCACAAACAGCATTATAATAAAGTCCTGTAGTACTGCACACCTACTCATCTGTTTTCCAAATGTAAGAAAACACGTTTGTTTGGTGCTACAGACCTCAGTAAATGTCACATTATCCTAAAACAATGATCATTAATACATAAATAATCTCACCATATTGTGCAGCCCTAGTCCAAACAAACAAGATGGCTTACACACATAAACACACACGCCTCTCATTATTGTGAAGCTACCTGGGATCACAAAGCAGGAATCTGAGGGAGCTAAGGATGATGGGAGATTAAATGTTAATGTGATGTCAGAGTACCTGATAGACCACGCCCAGCAGAGAGACGGGAGGGCGGGGCTGGATGTACAGAGACAGGTGACAGGGAGCAAAGTGAAAGCAGTTCACACAAGAGCAGTTATTATTATTATTATTGTTATTGTTGTTATTATTATTATTATTACTGTAGCAGCCTCCTGGGTCTGTGGGTAGAATGCTTTCAAATTACATTTTAGTTTCATGCAGGGAGATAGAGACAGAAAGCAACCACAGACTCCCTTAAGAGCTCTGGGAAACTTTATAAACTTTATGAAACGCTGTCTATGACAAGTTGGGAAATGTAGTAAGTTATTCCTGTTTTAGGAAGACTTAGAGGTCAAAGGGTCAGTGTGTGTGTGTGTGTGTGTGTGTGTGTGTGTGTGTGTGTGTGTGTGTCCTACCAGCTGACTCTTGGTGTGTAGCTCTTTCTCCAGCAGTGTCTGGCTGTGTAGCTGTGTTTCTGTCTGAGCCGTCAGCGTTCGGTTTGTCTCCTCCTGCTGGTGGAGACGAGTCACCGCGTCCTGCTGCTCCGTCTGCAGCCTGCTCAGCTCTGATTGGCTGCCGTCCACCTCCCGCTGCAGACGCTCCAGCTCCTCTGATCAAACAGCGACAGTGTTTGTAAGATCAATCTACATTCCTACCGCTGCGTCACAGATTTGTGTGATATGAAAATGATGTACCGGTGCTGAAACGTTGGTGGGCGTGTCCTCTCTCCTCCTGGGTGACTGGCAGGTCGTCCAGCCTGTCCAGAGTCCTGAGGTGGTAGAGGAGGAAGAGGCGGGAGTGCTGCAGCGAGGAGGCGGGGTTTCCTGACACGGAAAGCTCTGATAGGCTGCTGAGAGAACGCAGTCGGGACACCTCGTACAGCTGCAAGCGCACACACACACACACACACACACACACACACACACACACAGTGAGGATACATGATGGTTCAGGCGTCCACTGTGTCTGCCGCTGTAAACAGGAAGCAGGTCGTAATAATGAGGCAGAGAAAACGTTACCGCTCTTTAATTCCATTCAGTTCAATTTTAATTGTTTAAAGAAAAATCACTTTTCAAACAGAGCAGCTCCCTCCCAGAATCCTCCTGGATAACGCTGGTTCTACTCAAATGTTGTTAATAAACTGGACAATGATAAAATCCTCCCAGCATGCACTGCTTCCTCCCAGCCTCAACCACAACCAGCCCTCCATGTAGGACTCACACTCACACTCACACTCACACTCACACACACACACACACACACACTCACACACATACCCGT